CCAAAATGTCATCCACATGGCCAAGAACTGGCAAGAAGGAATGAATATAATGTCAAAGGACAAACTGGAGTGGGGAATAAAGAGGCGTATTTAACTGTGCTTCTGCTTCTGCAGCCGTTCTCACCTGCCTAGCAGAGCAAGCACCTACGAGGAATTCCCTCTCTCTCCTCAGTTCCATGTTTCCTTATCCAGTTTTCCATGTGCTCCATGCTGTTGTTATCACCAACTTTGCATCAAAATTACTATTTCTAATGTCTGCAGTGCCATCTGGGAGATTCAACCACAGGAAGCTTTTCTGTCTTTATCGTTCTTGATCTAGCAGGAGCTATTATGGATTCAGTGTGCTCCTCACAAGTTCATGTGTTGGGAATTTAACCTCAAACAATGTGTTAATTGGCAGGTAGGACCTGTGGAAGACAGCTGAGACTGAATGGCAGAATGAGGGCGGTGCTGTCCACTAGTGGCTCTTCAGAAGAGGAACAGATGCCCGTGCTGGCACGCTCCCTCTTCTCACCCAGGGATGCCCTCTGCTGTGGTGGGACACAGAGGGCAAGCAGGTGCCAGTGCCATGCTTTTGGACTTCCCAGCTCCCGAAAGTGTGAGTCCAAAGCTTCTGTCCTTCATGAAAATCTTGTCGCTAGTACTTTGTCATAGCAAAAGAAATTAGATGGAGACAGAAAAATTCGACATCTTAAGATCTCTTGGTTTTTATGATACCAGCCTCTCTCCTCTTTTCTTCTAGATGTCAGACCCAACTTTCCAGTTTTCTGCAAAATGTTCAGATGCTGCTCAAAATCCTTCAGGTCATCTCTTCTAGGTCCTCAACAAGCACTTATACGCATCACAGAATCTCAGATTTTATGTCCAACTTAAACTTTTCTGAGGGTCACATCCAAGTATATTAAAACAGATATTGCAGAAATGCTACAAATCCAATAATATTTTCTACTCAAACTATTTCTTTCTTTTCTTTAGCATTATTTATTTTATTTTTTAATAGGACAGTTCCAATAATTAATACATTGCATATTATTATATTCTTAGTGGTTATTCATAGTCAAGATGTAGACATGATATCCTGTCTAAATACTATTCATACAAATCTTTCTTCTCATTGAATTAAGAGAAAATAGCTGTATATCTATCCTATTTTGTATACACCAATACAAAATGGTCTTTTCTTTGTATCCCCTTTTTTGTTTAGTTTTGTCAGAGATGGGTATTCTATTGCCATTTAAATATTGTAGGTGTATGAATTCAGCAAAATAATCCAATATAGTCCAGTAGTCCATAAGAGTAGTGTGGGTTATCCATAGGACTGGCAATGTCAGAAGTTGTTGGCTTGAGCCTTTCACAGCTCAGCGTATTAATATGGCTTTACTTGATATACCTCATTTTTATACTTTTCTGCTGGATGGTTAAGACCAAGATAAAGCAAGACCTATATAACAAGAAATGTAACTTTTGTATCTGATAAGGTCAGTCAAGTCGGGAAGGGCACCTACTTTCCTATTTCTTAAGCCATAAACCTCCAAATCTCACCCTTCATCATCTCAGTCAGAAGGAGTCATGAGAACTGGCTGGTTTAAGCCTCATAGCACTCCCATCTGCGTCTGCAGGTGCGCTGTCAATGCCCCTCCTCCACTACCTGCTCCTCACTAGTCCTGGACCCCGTCTGTCCAAAGACATCCTGTATCTCAAATATTTATTTAAAACACACACATGGTCACGATGCTTCTCTATTTAAATCCTTTCATTAGCTCTCCCGTGAACCTCTATCCTCTGGCGTGACATGCGGGCCCTGCTTCCCATCAGGCACTCCTCCTTTGCTCTGGCTCCAGCCTCGAGAATGCCTTCTGTTTTAAAAGCTGTGTCTTTCTAGCCAGAGCCCTAATTTACACAGCTGTTCTTCCTCCTGAGAGATTCTTCCCCCCACCATCCTACCTTCCAAGGCTAGATGATTCTTATTTGTCCTTCAGATTTCAGAATTAAAATTTCTCTAACACCAGCTCAACTACTTAGATTAGATTCCCTGATAATGTATTTCTCTTTCAGAGTACTTGCCAAATTTGCAATTACATTTTGGGGTAACGATCTTTCTTACATAAGAGAATATCAGTCGCACATATTTCCATGTATAGCTTCATCTGTGGCTCTAGCCTTGCACAGAGCAGGTATTCAATAAATACCTGTCAAACAAATAAATGAGCTCCAGTGTTCATCAATGCTATGGTGGCCCTCGTCAAGCCAACCACAGTAAAACTCGATAGTACCATTTACAGCTGTGTCATTAAAACAACCTCACACGTTTGGCAAAGAGAATTCATGCTACTTACAAGCTATCACTTGCTTCCTTTTATGCATAATGACAAGGCTAACTTTACAGGATCATAACTCTACCAGAGCAGAGATTGATACATATCATGTAACAGTACATAAACATTGTTCAAAACTATTGATTCCAAAAAGTCAAAATACCCTACAAGTGTAAAAAGGAAAACCAAATCTGATTAGAATACTGAAAACTCACTAAACCCAAACCTGTCCAGTTGCAGGTAACATGGGATGAATGAAAGGTGTGATGACATTAGAAGCCTCATACGGAAAAATGCAGGCTCTCCACAACAAATGCAGGCTCTCCATAACCAGCTAACAAGCTTCTTCATCATCGGTAGTTTTGAAGGTTATATCTTTAAGCAGCAAATAAATACCATAAAGTTGTAAAACATACTCAAGACAGGAAACAGCTCTCAGTTAATGCTACACATAAATATGCAGAAGAAAAACAAATGACCTAGTCTTTATGATTAAACAGATGTTAAAAGTTATGTTGACATATAATTCAAACAACGGATATAGTATAAGTTGCAAGCTTCTTTCTTTAGATTATTTCTTGGCTCATGACAGGACCCCCAATGCATCACTCAAACTCCACACTTTGGCTCTCCTGAGTCCTCTTTTTAATCCTCCTCCACAATGAACTGTGCACAGTCATTGTCAGTCTCCACTTTCAACACATACCAGTCACCTGTCTCCCATTCACCTGCTCTCGCGCCACCATGACTGCCTTGGCCACTGCGATGGTCTTCCAAATATTTACCCTTCTGTCTTCCTAGCACCCCTCTCTCTGTAGTGTGCCTACCACACGGCGACTACCCTCCCTTTGCTGTCTGAATGTGACTTGGCCATTCCGCTACTTAAAACAGAAGTCTGAAGTCCTCACATCTCTTCCTGTTTCCTGGCTCCCCCTTAATTCTCCAACTGAAGCTTGTAATTTGCTTCCTGCACCATATTGTTGTTTCTGCTCTTTCTAGAATATTTCAAACTTTTTCCCACCTTGGACCTTCCTGCTTGCTATTCCTTCTGATTGGAACATTCTGTCCCATGAGGGTTTCCTTATAATTAAGACTCAGGCGAATCACCACCTTCCTCGACTTTCACCCAAAGCCTCACATTCCATCCAAGTGAATCCTTATGTTTATACTGGAGGCTTTCTGTTTCTAAGGACCTCTAGCACATCTTCCTGCTCATTTTCTTCCCAGTATATTTTGCTGCAATTATTTTCTCTATTTTTCTTTGGTTTCCAACGACCCTACCACCACAACCAAATGCAAAGTTCTTGAGTACAGGAATTTATTACTTCTGCCCACCATTTACTGTCTGTGCCTAGTGACTAGTGCTCACTGAACATCTGCTATGTAAGAGAAAATACTTAGTAACAAGAGAAGCAGCTCATGATAAAAACATAAAATTAAAATTCAGAAAGTCTTCTGTGAATTTGTATCTTGTAGTTTTACACACAAATAATACCAGTGTAGCTTTGGACATATTACAAATCTCAAGAATTATGATAAAAATACATTATTTTACTAAGGAAATTCACTTCTGTATATGACTGAACATCAGTAAGTAAAAAATATTTCTTACACAAAACCTTTCTAAATGAACAATTTTAAATAAGTCTGTATTAGAGAATTTGCAGAAGAAAGCCAGGTGTCCTTTCTTCAGCAAAAATATAATAGTCCTTTTAGTACTGAATCAGAAGCACTAGAGAAATGATCCAAAGGTTAATTTTTAAAATTAATGTCAATTTAAGACAGAAAAAAAAATCTATTTAAAACTAAGGGAAATAATGGAATTAGTTTCCCAAGGATAAAAATCATCTTCTATAAATCAGAGGCTACATGTTTACACTTGAGGTTCTCTGTTTCTAAGGACCTATACTGTATGCTTGGTATTTGGAAGAAGTAAATCTGGAGCCCTCCAACTCCTCCGAGCACCAAGACACCACCAAATCAAGGCTCTCCTCCGCAAGATGCTGGACTCGGTCATGCAAGCAGTGCTGCCGAATTCAACCTGTGCCTCGGAGACGTGTAAAAGTACATCTCACGACCTTTCAGGTCTGTAGGGTCTGCCAAAGCCAAAGCCAAATGAATTTTATGGGCCTAAAGACTGTGTTTGGTCTCCATAAGAGGATAAACTACTTTGAATGTTAGTTAAAAATTTTAAGAGTAACTAGGAAATGATTTACTCCACTGGAACTACTTATTAAATACCACCAAGCATAAATACAACCTCTGAGATTATTTATAGTAGCAAACAAAAAATAGCAGTAGGCATTTTATCTTCCTGGTAATTGATTGCTTTTGTTTCACCACACTGTCTGGAAAACTCTAACTACAATGCTAACTGCAAGCCGCAGTATTCATGTCAATATGTGAGCTATCTGAACATCTAATTATAAAAAAGAAGGCAATTTCACAGTGGAAGTATTGTTCTAATTCAAGAAACCAGCCATATTAACTTATTAGTCTGACATAGCAGATAGTTAAAAACTTTAATTTGAAAGATAATTATTTTTAGCTGATTAATATGTTTCAAATTCAATTCAAAGCTTTTAATGGGTCCATCAACTTGACAACCCAGGATTTTAATAAACTTTGCATGCAGTAATCCTAGGAAATGTATACAGTAGGGCCACACATCATCCTAAGGATTACCTTCACAGTAGGCATTGTCCTCCCGAAGAGCCCGAAAGCCATCACGGCAGCTGCACACAGCCCTGTCGTTTAGGTTTCTACAAACAGAATTCTCCACGCAGTTGTGCCGCTCAGAACAGAAGTCATAACCTATGCAGGACAAAATAGGAAGGTGAATGAAACTATAACCAAAGAAATAAACTTTTCCTATTTAAATTTCTTTTAAAGACATTTTCCCTAAACAATTAAAAAAATAGTATCTTTAGAAATGTTTATAGAAGAATCACAGATGATGAACACCAAAAAGAAGTTCATTATATTTAACTCAATTCCTACTTCAATTTAATTCCATGTGTTGTTTTTTTAACTATATCAGTGTTATCTAGTCCCTAATATTCTATATAGCTCTTATATCTGAAACAAAGAAAGATTCTGAGTATAAGATGTATGATAATGGAAGGTAACATTACTAGAAGATAACATGAGAATGACCAGTGCCTATGAATGAAACGTGCCTGCCATGCAATTAAGAAATGGAACATACAATGTAGCAGCTTTTAAGATTTTTCTCAATTGTGCTAATAAATGAAAAACGATATTACTTTAATCTTATTTCACCTGAAGATATGCAAAGCAAACTGGCCACACAAAAGAAGAACATTTTTATGAATCACAGATATTTCACAGATCCCTGAGTCTGTATGAAAGGAAAGCAGAACTTTATTAACAGACACCCATCATGCACGATTTCTCAGGATTTCTTACTCCTGTCTGAATCTCTTGTTCAAAACTCATTTAATATGGGGAGATGAAAAGCCTGAACACTGGACCCATATTTAATGGAAATTACATGATTATATGTGAGCCAACCAATATTAAACTGTGTGATGCACAAGTTCTCAATCTAGTTCTGCATTGCTGGATGGATTGCTATTTTCGTCTACTAAAGGAGTATATCTCATGTACCTTAGAATGAACTCATCTCTAAGCATGTAGAGCCAAGAAAAACTTTAATTTGAGAAAATCATGAAGATGGAAGTTCTAACTTGGTTTAATGTATTTAAAATCAAATTTGCAGCCAGCGGGATTTCTCAGTGCTTGTTCTGGTTGGATGGTGTCTACACAACTATTCTGAACGTAACTCCAGAGTTAACACACTTGGGGGGGGGGCAGCGAGGAGAGAACAAGGCATGAAGCCATGATATACAGGAAAATAGTCTTAGTACAATTTAATAAGCCTTAAGAGTAATGCTCCAAAAGCTCAGTAATGTCACTAAAAAGGAATTTTTTAATGTATTTAGTAGAGGGTCAATAGGGTCTCACTACACAGCTCAGACTTGTAGTGATCCTCCTGTTTACAGCATCCCAAGCACTGGGCTTACAGGCGTGCGGCACCACAACCAGTCTCAGTCGCCCTCTCAGTATGCCCTGGGAGTAGGGCCAGTATAAAAAGGAATTTAAAACGTCAAATAGATTAGTGATTTCGGTAAAAATAAAACATGCATGAAAAATGAAAAATGTAGTCAGTAACAACATTTAGTGTAGTCACTTGACAACTTTAAGATTCTTCACAAGCTAAATTCTGATGATTAAGGCTGATTATTTAGACCTAAAATTGTCAAGAAAACCTAAAAATATTTTCTCTTAAGGCCTTTTTCATTCATTCTTTATAAAGTAGCTAAGTTGAGATCACGTTTCTCAAGATGCACTGCGATGTATTTTTACAATGGCTGTGAGGGGGAAATTTTCAAATAAAAACTTTTCACTAACTATCACAATAGCTCAGTACATCATCAAACTAAAATTTAAAAGCTTCAAACATCATATTATGTCTTTTCTAAATTAAAATAAAGTTAATTTCAAACATGATCCCCTACTAAAGATATACAAAACTCAGAAGTTATAAATAGTGTAAAATCTCTGTAAAATTTTACCTGTCATGTTCAAAGAGCTTTTAGAGGAACGTGACAAAGAACAGATTTTTTTTTTTTTTTTTTGGATACATCTTTATTTTTCTTCCATGATTTAACAATTTTCAAAACTATCTTTCAATTTTTCATTTTGTGGATTTCTCTCTTCTCCCACTTCTAAGATTTAACCCACTCTATGTACTCATGGTACTCCGAGGCCTGTGTCAGCAGCTGGGAGACCGCCTACGGCAGCACCTGACATCATGCACAAGACACCGCGCTCTGGCTAGCTGCTGCAAGAGTAATTGTACAAGTGCATGAAAAACTGTGACCCTGTTTTTCTTTTTTTAAAATTTTATTATTATTTTTAATGTATTTAGTACAGGATCTACAGGGTCTCACTACCCAGATTGGACTCGTAGCTATCCTTCCTGTTTTTCAGGCTCCCAAGTGCTGGGATTATAGGTGTGTGCCACCCTGCCCAGCCTCAATCACAGTCTCAGAGCACCCCAGGGATGGGGCCAGCACAGTAGGCTGTGTGACCCTGTTTTCATTGTTCTAGTTAAGAGTTACAGGGGCTGGTGAGATGGTTCAGTGGTCTAAAGCACCTACTTAGAAAAAGCTTAGCAAAGCACAGGGACCTCGGTTCAATCCCCCAGCACCACATACCAGCCAGCCCCGCCCCCTGGTGGGCTGAGCTGGACACACACACACACACACATAAATAAATAAATAAATAAATAAATAAATAAAAATTTAAAAAAAAAGAGTTGCAAAGAGTTTTACTTTTATCAGATAGGGGCTTTCTTAAGGCAAAGACCTGAAAATAAAAAATTCCAGTCAGATTCTAATTTAACCTAAACAATGTATAAGATACCTGTTCTGATTTAAGCTTTTAACAAAAAAGTTAATTGATTCTACAGAGTATCTTACTTAAGATATAAAGTATCTTAAATACAAAATGTAAGATTCAAAGGACTAACTACTGTTGGTAAAAAAATTTTTACACTTAGTTGAAATAGGTTGCTTTTAATCTACAAAGAATAGCTTCAAATCACCAGAGTGCAAGTTGGCAATCTAGACTACTAACCTCAAAGCTGTGTCTCTATTCAGATACCGGCAAAAGTGCCTAAGAGCAACTGGGTTTAAAGTTGCTCCACCAAACACACATCCTGACTATGTACTGGGCACAAAACTTAAGCCCACAGGAAAACACTGCTAATGCTTGGAAACAATTTGCTTATACAAATGTCTATTTCATATCATTTGTACTCATTTACTACAACAATACTTGCACATAAATCTTTTTAAGCACATTTTTATTTTTAATTGACACAGTAATCATGCATAAGTTTTGGGCTGCAGTGCAACTTTTCAATAAATGCATACGATGTTTAATGATCAGACCAGGGTAATTCCTGGCCTCAGACATATACCATTTCTGTGTGCTAGGAACCTCTCTAGTAGCCTTCTTGAGACATTCAATCAACTTCTGTGAACAACAGTTTTTCCACTGTGCTACCAAACACCAGAAATGAATCCTCCCATCCAGCTGCAGCCCCATGCACACTGACCATCCTTCCCTATTCTCGCTCCCTTTTGCTTCCCCAGGCTCTAGTAATTACTATTCTATTCTCTGTTTAAAGTCAACAGTCCAGTGTCCAGATTAAGCACAGACATGTGGGACTCGTCTTTCTGACTTTCACTTAACATAAATCGTGCTGTAAGGGAGCACCTTACCTTTACAAACTTTGCAGCAACTACGAGACAAGGTAATCTGGTGCGCCTCTGGACAATCCAAATCTGGACAGCCCGAACTCTCCAGAAGCTTCATGGTCTGGTCCTGTTAGACAGCAGAGAAAAAGGGCCTCAAATTTATAATCATGGGTCAACCCATAAGTTTCCAGACTCAGTCTGAAAAGGGTCTTCAAATATGTCACTGATATCTTCATAGCGAGAACTTCTGCACAGGTCAAGGATCGGTCCAGAAATGATGTTACAGCCCAACTCAAAACCCTTCAGAACAGACAAGCAGCTCTGGAACAAAACCTAGAACATCACACCTAGGTATATAATTTGTCCAGCAGCTGGGGAATAGAAAGAAGTTTTGTTACTTTTAGAACATGTTTACTTGTCCAATGACAGCTGTGGTGAAAAGACAGCTTCAGTTACATCAAAAGCCCACACTGACAATAATGGTAAAGAAAACTGAGCTCTCCATCATGTTCACCGCAAAGTTCTCTTATAGTTTTATCATGTAGCCTCACATATTATTCCAATAGGGAAGAATGGAGCTAGCCCAGGAAACTCTACAGAAAATAAAGGCAGCAATTGTATGCTTCATAAACTAACATCCAGCACACTTCCTGACACTTAATTGACACACAGATACACACAGGCACACAGGCACACAGGCACACACACACACACACACACACACACACACACACACAAATGTGGTTTCTGCCCTGGGAATCGACTCCAGAACCCTGTGCTAGCCAGGCAGGCACTATGCCGCTCAGCAATACACCGGACCTCAGAAAACTTTTGAATGAGTGAAATCATAGTTCCAGAAACTGAAGTAAATTAAGTCCTTCTAAAGTAGAAGCCAAAGCGCACAGCGCTTTCCCCACTGCTGGCGGAGCCTGGTCCAAGAGGCTAACGTGGCTCTAGATCATCGATCTCCAAACGCAACAAGATCAGTAGGTCTCTGGAGAATCTGGACAAACAGCCAATGGATGCACAGAAGTGCTAACATCTCTGGTCATTAGAAGAACGCAAATTAAGACAACCTTAGAAAGAATTCCAATCCCCAACAAAACAAATCACAACCAATGCTGGAGAGGCTGTGGGGAGAGAGGAGCCCTCTGGCATGCCTGGGTGGAGTGAACGCCCGCTCGACCTCCACGGGAATCAGCAGAAAGACCCCCCTGAGAGGTAGGGGCAGAAATCCCTTCGAGCCAGTTCCTCCCGGCAGGTATCTCCCCCAAAGCGCCAGCAACATCGTGCTCCAGTGATGCCCGTGCGCCCATCACATGCCTGACGGATAAATCTTGGAGGTGACCTGTGTGCCATCAGCCCGAAAGATAAAGAGAAGTGACAGGCTGCCGGGAGCCTTTCACCTGCGGCTCCGCACTCCACAGAGAAATTTCGTTTCCTACCTTTAACTGATCCTCACGCACTCTGCAGAGGATACTCCTTCTCCTACCTTTAACAAATGGAAGACCTTTCTACCTTAATAAAGAGAAAAGAAAACATGGTATTTATTTCCACTGGAGCATGACTCTCCCATAAAGAAGGATAACTGTAAGTTATCTATAGGAAGATGGATACACCTGGGGCCATGACATTAAGTGAAATAAGTCAGATATACCAGCTTAAATATCACATAGTTTCTCTTATATGAGCCCAAAATACAAATAAAGAGCAAAGTACAATATGGATAATAGAATATAGGGAATTAGCTCTTTCACCAAAAGGAAGAGAACTAAGATAAAGGGCGAGGTCAGGAGGGGAGAAGGGGATGGAGAAGAACTGAGACCGTGTGCACGTGGAAGGGCCCTGCTGGGAACGGGATCAGCATGGACCGCACACGCGCACTAAGAAACACTGGGGGGCAAAAGGCAAGGGTCACCAGCAGCACTGTGGGATGTCTCCCAGCTCCAAAGCAACAAGACACTTCTTGGAACCTGTAGATGTTCTCTTTAGTTACTGTTTAACAGCTTAGATTTCTTTTTCCGGTAATGGGGATCAAACTGGGGACCTTGTGCAAGCCAGGTAGGTGCTTATGCTGCTCAGCTATACGCCAAGCTCAGCAGTTTAGATTTTAGAAGAACACACTTCCATATCTGCCATTTCCAACTCATTTGAGCAAAGAATTTTAATTCCAAATCATAACTACTTATCAGAACAGTGGCAGAAGGCCGCTCTATACCCTGGAGTCAAATGGTACCTCTCTTTGGTTTGATGGTAATACAACTTCTGGTAATCTCAGATTCTACACCACAATGTTGTTCTACCTTACTACTAAACTCATAGCCTCCTAGGACATATTTTCAAGGCCAGAAAATTGGCAATAAAAGAACAAGCAGGGACCAGAATAGACATCCCGGACAATGGAAGCAGAGAGATTTGTCAATTGTCTAAAGTTGTGAATGCAGCAGGTGAGGAGTCTAGAGGGAAAAGAAACAGTGGAGGCCTTAATGTTAAGCTCAGGACATGGGGAACCTGTATGGTAACATCCTGTAGCTCAGTGGTGTCCCAAATTTTCTGATCAAGGAGATTATGGGGCCAAAGAGGAAAGTGATCGATGATGTATAATGCGCCTAAGGAGAGTCACCTGGAGAGAAAACATTCTCTCAGGCTTTCACAGAGAGCAAATTGGTCGAGCAATGGCGGTGACTCATCCACATGGCTGACACTGACAAAGGATCTACAAACTGCAGTACAGGGTTTCAGGGTAAGGCCTGAGGGGATTTGACTGATGTTGTCAGATACAAAAGTCACCATTTCTTGTTATATACATCTTGCTTTATCTTGGTCTTAAACATACAGCAGAAAAGTATAAAAATAAGGTATAAAAAGTAAAGCCATATTAACATGCTGAGCTATAAAAGGCTCAAGTCAACAACTTCTCACATTGCCAGTTCTGCAGATAGCCTACTACTATTATGGACTACTGGACTATATTGGATTATTTTGCTGAATTCACATACCTACAATATTTAAATGGCAATGGAATACGCATCTCTGACAAAACTAAAAAAAGGGGATATAAATGAAGGACAATTCTGGATATACAAAATAGGATAGATATACAGCTACTTTCTCCTAATTCAATGAGAAGAAAGATTTGTACTAATAGTGTTTGTGGACAGGCTATCATGTCTGCATCTTGTACTATGAATAACTACTATAAAGACAACAATATGCAAGGTATTAATTATTATAACTGTCCTGCTAACCTGTTTTGAAACTGTCTCATTGCTATTTGTTTCTCAATAAAATTAATTTTAAAAAGAACAAGGCAAAAATTGCAAGCAAAAAAAAGAATTTAGGTGCTGGGGACATAGCTCAGGGGCACAGTGCAGTAGTAGGTCATGAGTTCAATTCCTTTTAAAATAAGGAAGCATTTAGTCAAGACCACAAAGCTTCTGATAATCTGAGAGAGCTGTGTTGTCCGATCAATGCCCATGAGCTACGTGTGGCTCTTGGACATTGTACTTGTAAGATACAAAGGAGAATTTGAGCACAGAGTATATGTAGCAGAAGGCTATAAAATATTCCTAGTTGTTTTCATATTGTTTCTCTGTGCAAACGACAATGTATCAGACGTATTGCTTCAATACAGGGAATTTGGGTTTACGAAGCTGGACCTGGCACCATATTTCTATCAGCAGCACAGTGTGGTAGGAGAGGAAAATGGCACTTTCCTTTTAACAAAGAAGCAGCAAAGTGATTCTGATATTTAGTTACTGAGTACTTGCATGTTCTGCACACAGGCACCTAGAACTAGAGCTGTTTAATCACATAATTTTACATAGCACATTTAATGCCAAATAAGCAGCCCTCCAAGTAAATTTTGAACCAGACTTATCAGTATTGCAGAACATATTCTGGCCAAATGAACACAGACACACGCGCGCGCACGCGCACGCGCACGTGCACACACACACACACGCACGCACACACAAATAGAGACTGCAGATGCCTTCGTGGTTATTAAATTTAGAGCTTATATTTCCAATTTAGAGATTAACATTAGAAACCAGCTGACAAAAGCTTCCAAGTGGCTCTGAAGTACCTTTTCCGGGGATTCCCTTTTCTCATTCTGGAGTGACCCGATCTCACTCTAAGCCTTCCTGTCCTTGTAGATGCATAGAGACTCCCTCCCCTCTACAGACACGCTTGGGCCTGGGACATATTTCTACCAGTCAGCACCATGTCCTGTAGCATCAGTGCAGTGATGGAGGAAGAGAAAACTCCACTCTGAAAGGCAAGCTCAGGGACTCGGATTGAAGTTCCCACGCCTCCTTCTTTATGATGTAACCAACACCTCCGAAAGCTGACTGAACACAAAAAAGAGGCAGCTTGCGTACCTAATGGACAAAAAGAGACCATAGCTTTCATGTTCTGGAAATGAAATCTGCCGCTGTCTTGCCTCTCTATACATCATCTTGGCTTACCCAAAAGGATTTCCAAGTTAAGATGCCTTTCAGCCTTGATTTATTCTGGCAAAACTCTTAGGGTTTTCCTTTCCCTGGTTCTTAACAGTCATACTGATGCTCATGGTTGATAGCTGATACCAGCAGAGTAAATCACTTCTATTTTCTATACACTGTCTCCATTCTAAGTCACTCTCAAATCCACGTTCAGGAGACACTTTGATGTGGTGCTGCTATCCTTGTCATTGCTTTTTTTGTTGTTTCGTTTTTGAGACAGGGTGACCTTGAACTCCCCACATAGCCCCAGCTGGCCTCAGATCTGCAATGATCCTCCTGTCCCGGCCTCCCTAGTGCTGGAATTATAGGTGTGCTCCACCATGTCAAACAGGAGACATTTAAGTAGTACAATAAAAGATCAAATGTAACCATAAAACAGACACTTTATATGTAGATATTTCCCTCCTGATAGAACACGACTTGAAATACAATGATAGGCTCAAGAAACATTGAAATTAATAAAAGGCAAATATGAAAAGCACTGCGAAATACAATTGGCTTTACAGGTTACAGGTCAGGGAGCAGTGGTCAAAAGATACACACTGGCTTCAGAAGCAAACTTTGAGAACAAAGCAAGTAAAATTTTAAAATACTCCACAAGGGTTAAAATCACTCTGTCTCATCTGCTACAACGCTTACCCTTCATGACAGAGCGTTATGTTTTGTTTTGAATTGAACTGAATATTGCTTCTGTCACCTGGGTCAAACCCTAAGTGACAAGAAGCTAAGCTGAACCTTACATCTTCCTCCCAACAGCAAACAACTTGCTGATTTGAATTTGGAATGCACAAGACCACTTCATAGAAGCTTAATTGGACATAAAAACATTTTCATTTATTGTGAAAATTATTTTATGACCATTAATTTACATTTTTGAAAAGGTAATGGGAATTCATTTACCACGGAACTATAATTGACACTGAATTTTTTCTTTGCCTTAGAATTTGAGAGCCATATTACGAGGCTGAGGTTTTAAAGTAACATTTACTGCATTTGTGCAGCGAAAGGCATTCCACAAGCTGCACAAGGAGCCTTACCTTACACTCGTAAAGAACACACACTCCAGAGGAAGAATAGACTGTACTGCGCTCTCCTTCAAAGTAGGTTCGTCCTTGAAACTGGCATATTGCTTTAAGATAAAAAAAACATATATATTGATATTTTATTTGGAAAAGCAGTTTAGAAATACTCATATTAGTTTGTAACAGTCTTTCACATGTTTTCCTACACTTTTTTCCATGTATTTGAATAACTATAAACCTGAATTCAACCTACCATAATGTATATGGAAACCTAAATTAGCATCTTGTAAATTAAGATGATGAAATGAGGTGCAAAAGAAACAATGAGTTATTGCAACTTAATTTAGAAAGTCAGAACAGACTAGGACGAAAGAGCATTCAAAGGCACACTCAGCCAGTTACACGCCTGGCAGACGATGTCCCACTGCGGACACATCAGGAAGGCCCTGGGATGGCGACCAATGGCTGGCAGCACAACAGGAGACAGGCTCACTTTTTGCAAGACACCATGACAGCATTTTGAAACAGAAGTTAGAAGCCATTTGAACTCCAGCACGTACACGTAAGCTTTCTGTTTTATGGCGCAGCATTACTGTAAATGTACACAAGTTGAGACCTCCCCTGCAGGGTGCTACAGTGATGTAAGCTAGACCTGCCTTGCTTTCCATCCAGTGACATAAAATCTTAAAGTATAACTTCAGATTCAACAGGAAAACGTGACTTCATTGGTTGTAATGCATAGAGTAGCAATTTTTCTGAAACTTACAAAATATCTATAACTCACATAGATATTCAGCCAATGGAAATTATCTCCTTATTTTGAAATGAATATTCACATCATCCCTGTGGACGTAGCCCCTAGACGATGGTTGTGTCCTGAGACTAATGAAGCCCAAGCTTCAAGTTTCTTTTCTGGCTCAGGCCTAAGATTCTAAGCTAATATTTGATTTTATATCATACAATAAATGCTTCAGTTCCCCATAATATCTAAATCCTCACCAAGATAATTATGGCAGTGGAAGTAATCCACTGAAATATTTATATTTATTGAATGTTTATTGAATCTAGCTTTCATTTAACCACAAAGACTTTAAAAAAGGAAAGCATAGGGGCCGGGGAGATAGCTCAGTAGAATAAGCACTTGCCTGGCAAGCTCAGGGTCCTGAGTTCAGTCCCCAGTACCAAAAAAAAAAGAAAGTATACACTTCCTTTTAATACTTCCAAATGAATAAAACAAATTCTTTCACTCTTTAGAATCCTATTACCTTTAAAATCATTGAATTGACAACAATAATTGATAACAGAAATTAAATACACTTTTATTAATATAAGTAAATTATTGCATAAATATTAATATTCCAGGTATAATCAACTTTTCATTTCCACTGAAAAATCCACTATTTAAAGCCATATATTTAAATAATGAAAACCAAGTGTATTTTTAAAAATCCGTCTTTCAACTGATCTCCTTACTCAGCTTTTATTACCAAATTTGATTACATGATATAACTCTACCAGTGAGTTGATTTTGAAGTATTTTGGAGCTTGCTAGAAAAAAATACAAATTATTTGCATGAATTATATTACTTAAATACTGGCTGAAACTTGTTCACTCATGAATATTCAAAATGAAATTCAATATGTCAGCTGCATACTATGAAATTATGAATTAAAATAGCATGTGCATTCACTTAATAACCTGATTGCCTGCAAAAGTATCTCTCCAATGTGTAACTTAGGGTGTGATCTTTTTTCTTATGAAATTCAGTAAATTAAAATACGAAGACTTGATGTATTGCACGTTTAATTATACTTAATTATTACTACACTTTATAAGATAATGAGAACAAATAAAACCTTTCTTACTACTATGCAGTACCTGCCATTCACGGGGGGCTAAGCCTATGTTGCAGAACTTGGTAACTGCAGCCTAGTCAAGTCACTGAGCACGTGGAAGAAGTAAATGACGCTTCAAGTCTTTCTGGGAGAGAAAAGGATGCGCAGCTATGAAAAACACCCAAGGGTAAACTCTCCTTCTACAAAGTCCTAGGATAATTTAATATCCACACAGGGCATATGGACCTTCTGTTCTAAGCTCTTAATTCAGAATACACAAACAGGCACTTGGGGGACAATGGGGCACCAAGCGGAGCTTGGCAAAGAGGGAGAGGGCAAAGTGGGCGAGAGCGCGGCTGCCTCAG